ATGCATTAGTACAGTTAAATACATATTTGATGCTAAATCTACTGCTTACTGCTGTATTCAGTGCAGTCTGTGATACTGTAAACTTCAGAATTTTAATAACTGTTTCTGATTGAAAGAAAAAACAATAACTGTCTGGAGTAACCTTAAGGAACAAGGACAAATTTATACAGGAATTGAAAGCAATTAGCATACTTGGGTAAAAGAGAAGTTGAAGTTACATAAACAAAACTGTTATAACAACTGTTTGATAACTGGTTCCTTTAAGCCACAAAGACAAATGATCGCCCTGCAGAAGAATTTAAGGTTTTAACTGCAGGAAAGTTGTGTCTTCAAACAAACAGGCAATACCAAACGTGACAAGGGAAAGGGAAGCTACTTCTAATAAAAAAAAGCAAGCTGCAGTCTTGATAGCTGCAAAGTAGTCATTATTATGGATGAAAGAATTTAAAGGTTCATCAATAATGTTGCACCATAAACTTGAAACAGAAAATTCTATAAGATTTCAACTCATGATTCTTCAGTAGCAGAACCTGGAAGAACAACACTGCATAAGGATCAAACCCCGGAAATCCAGAGAAAGACACTGCTGGTGCGAATCATAGCTAAATTCCACCATTAATCGGGTAATAGCCAAGTCGGGTCGTGAGGCTTAACTTGCTTATTTGAGGGAACTTATTTCGGTTGCTACATGCAATGAAGTTCAAATAACTGTTTCAGTATTTGACTGAGAGATTTCTTAGTAGGTAGCTTATGGTAATTAACACACAAGTCTCATGTCCAAGAACAGCAGTCGATGTTGTCTACATGGACCCTATACTAATGCATTTGACAAGGGCCCTCACGGTCAGCTGGTCCAGAAGATTAAATCACATGGCATCCATGGTGAGTTGGTAAGTCGGATACAAAACTGGCTTGATCATAGAAGACAGAGGGTAGTCGATCAGGGGTGGTTTTTCTGACTGGAGGTTTGTGACCACTGGTATTCTGCAAGCATCAGTGTTGGGATCTCCATTTGCAGATGACACGAAAATTGTTGGAGTTATGGATACTGAGGAAAGTTATCAAAAGATATAGCAGAATATACAGAGCAGTTGGAAAGCTGGGCAGAGAAATGGCAGATGGAGTTTAATATGGACAAGTGTGAGGTGATGTATTTTGGGAGGTCAAATGAAAGATGAAAGTATACCATAAAATGACAGCATCCTTAGGAGCAGTGATATACAGAGTGATCTTGAGGTGCAAGTCCATAGCTCTCTGAAAGTGACAAGCGGTTAAGGTAGTAAAGATGATGTATGGTACGCTTGCCTTCATCAGACAGGGCACCGAGTATAAAAGTTGGCAAGTCATGTTGCAGCAGTATAAAATCTTTAGGTACGCCATGTTTGGAGTACAATATGCAGTTCTGGTCACCACACTATAGAAAGGACATGGAGGCTTTGATGAGGACGTGAAAAAGGTTTACTAGGATGTTGCATGAATTGGAATTTATCAGCTATAAGGAGAGGCCAGACAAACTTCAATCAAACTTCAAGCATTGGAAGCTGAGGGTCAACTTGAAAGAAGTATATAAAATTATGAGAGACATGGACAGGGTGGATAGTGAGTGTCTTATTCTCAGGGTGGAAATGTCAAATACTTGGGGGCAAAGGTTTATGGCAAGAAGGGATAAGTTTAAAGGAGATATGTGAGGAAAGTTTTAGTTACACAGAGGCTGATAGGTGCCTGTGCTGCCAGACAAGGTGAAAGAAGCAGAGATGATAGTAATGTTTAGGATGCACTTAGACACATGAACAGGCAAGGAATAGAGGGATACGGCCCATGTGCAGGCAGATGGGATAAATTTAAAATAGAATCACAGTCAGCACAGACATGGTTGCCCAAAGGGCCTGTTCCTGTGCTGTACTATGTTCCATGTAATCCAATTGTTTCAGACATCATTGCAGAATAAATACAAGTTATCTGCAGGATTGCAAATAAGAAAGTAATTCTACACCACTGTGCAAGTCCATCACTTGTTAGAGGTTTTACATACCTGTGGATTTTTAAAAAGTGCATATTTCTCAATGCGTTCAGTAAACATGAGCTTATTCTGACTATCTCGAGTCCAGTTCAGCAAGTTCTCTACCAGATTTTCATGATCTTCAAAGATTCGCTCTGAAATTAAAAGAAAATTTAAGAGTCATGAGAGGAAACTGCATTAGCAATAGATGGAACACAGCAATGAAAAGGAAACAAACAAACAGAACTAGAACCGCTGAACTTTGAGGAAATACCAATCATATTTTGCTGATAGTCAGCCAAGACTGACTCAAGTTAACTTAAGGGTTGGTCAAGTCCTTCCTGCAGTTTGTACCACTTAGAAACAGGATGTTTTTAATGGTTTGTGAAGTATTGTAGGATACTTTCTGACAATGAAATGTAGCCTTTTAACAATTTAGATTCAGTTGCACTTACGGGTTCACTGGAAAGTACAAGTGCCACAGCACATCCCAGATTAGTATTCAGCCCCAAAACAAACAGATTGCCCATAAACTAACAACTTAATTTTAATAGCTTTCAGAAACAATTTTCACCAGAGAGCAGAATGGATAAGAGGAGATCAATGACTTTCAGATCAGACCCACTTCAGATTTAAGTGAGCATGACTAAATTCAAATTCAGTGACCTTAATGAAAAGACACAGACCTGACTGTGTTCCACTCTCCACAGATGTTGCCCGACCTGCTAAGCATTTCCAACATCTCCAGTATTTTGCCTGTGCATTAGTATTTAAGTCACTGCCATTTCTTCCAGGAATGCCTACCTTAATGTACTGCTCTTCACTGAAGACAGGGAATCTATTTGTTTCTTTTATGGGATACATCTTCATTGCTTTTACTGTTTCCCTTCTTATGTTTGATCAGGTATTTACCAGAACTGAATTTTCACAGTTACCATTCTTTCCTCAGCAATAGTCTCCGGATTTGACAGAAATGCAGATATTAATTCATGTGATTGTCAGAGTCTAGGAAGTTAGTGCCCAGTTAGTGAAAGGATAGGAGTTGCAGAATTTCTTCTGAGTTGATGATGACGTAAGAAAGGTGATTCTTGGTAGCAAAGTGGCTCAGGGGTTAGCACTGCTGCCTCAGTGCCAGGGACCGAGGTTCAATTTCACCCTCTGGCAGCTGTTTGTGTGGAGTTTTGCAAATTCTCCCTGTCTGCACGGGTTTCCTCTGGGTGTTCTGGGTTCCTTCCACACTCCAAAGATGTGCAAATTAGGTGGATTGGCCACATGCTAAATTGCCAATACTATCCACTGAAGATGTTTGAGTCTAGGACACTATATTGGGGAACTCTTGCAGAAATGTCTTGGAGCTGAGATGACCGATTCCCTAACCACCATCTTATATGTCAGGTATGACTCCAACCAGTGGAGAGTTTGCCCCCGATTCCAATTTTGCAAGGGCTCCTTGATGCCACACTCAGTCTAGTGCAGCTTTGACTTCAAGGGCCATTACTCTCATCTCACCTTTGGAATTTAGTGCTTATTGTCCATGTTTGAACCAAGGCTGTCAGGAGCTGAGCAGGTGCTGCTTGATAAAACTGCTGATGATACCTTCCATCACTTTATAGCTGACACTTTTCGCCAAAACCAGAGCTGCCATTTATTCAAATATGACTCAATTTTGCAGTTTCACTATTTCTAAAATTTTGTATTTTTATTTCTGAGCACAATTATGTTCTGAAGAGAGCTCGTCCAAAATAAAAATGATAAGGGCACAATACTGTTGCACTAAGTGCTTTTGCATGCTTTTTGCATGGAATTAGAGAAACCTAATGAAATGAGGAGGTCAAAACCCATTTTCTAAACTAATTGGTTTCGCAGACAAAAGTGAGAAAACATGAGGAACTATTTAAAATCAAATCTAGTCAACTTCATCCAAAATAAGAAAGGAAAAATAATGAAACATTTTTGGAATTATTTGTTTTTAGAACAGTTCCAGCTGCATAACCTGGTCCTCATGTATTTTTATTTCCAAGTGAAAGACTGATTCTTGGAGCTCCTCATTAAAAAGTAGAATTAAGCTGACAACCAATTTAGGATTGTCAGTCAGGTTTGCATAGTGCCTTAATACATAGGGTCCTGTTCAGTGCAAATGGATAGAACATGTAAATACACTGCCCTGTTTCAACTCAACTAAATAGATGACAGTCATTCTGTGGTTTATTTCTCAGGGCAATGTCATGATCAGAGACAAGTGCCTGTTTTAAAATTAAAACAAAGCTTGGCAGTTAGGTTGCAGTCATCATTAATTGGTGCATTCACCATGGCAACACCTTTACCACAGTCTACTCGCCAACCAATTATCACTCTCCCCTCATAATATAAATGACGTCTTCCCTTTGCTTCGGTGCAACTTATCCTGATGAGTGCAAGAAGAAAAGCTTCAATAACATGTCCTTTATAAGCAATATGGAAGTTCTGCACTACCAAATGACTATAAACATTACATAATCAGAAATCTCATTTATTAAAAAAATTGAAACATGATATTCCATTTTAAATGGGCATTATTTAACATTTTGAAGAAAATAATTATTTGGATAAAAGAGAATGTATCACAGGACTTGGTTCTGAAAAGCCAAATATTTAGACAGGGCATCATAATGATAATTGTGCTATATTTAGTGCTTTAACACAGCTGAAAATATAACACAAAAGGAATAAGAAAACAAGGATCCTCCTCTTGATGCCCTCACTCTCACCATTTCTTCCTCTGCAGGCATTTGCAACGTACCAAGATCCACCCATGAAGAATGGCAAGTTAGCACGGAATATCCATATTTGACCTTGTAGGACATTAAATCACGTCTGATCCCGCATTCAGTGTGTTCAAAGATGCACACACTCCAGTCAGAGTAACAAGAATTCTGACTGGCTTTTCCTCTTAGACCACGGGATCAGTGGCCAATTAAAAGGACCTACATGGCCAGTTCACCCACTGTACATGCCAGCAACTGTTGGACATTCCTCTTCACACGGGCCAATACATCTGACACTGAATTAACTTGTTCAGGAAACTGGGCAGTTTAGGTCCTAAGGACCATTCAGTGGCAATATGTCCAAAGTCAAGAAAAATGGATTTATGTACAGATAAAGTCACAACAGAGCACCTTGTAATTAAAACGGAGAGGTCATATAGAATAAGGATCCAAAAGAAGTGCATATCTCCAAAATTAGCCATGGTTTGAATATCTACTATCCTGCACAGTTTAAGAATTTGACTGCAAGGTTATTTACAGAACCTGACCTCATGCGGAGTGTAAGAGTACCTCTAGTCTTCTCCATGTTGTGCTCAGTTTACGGCAGACTCTAATTTCTGATTTACATAACCATTTTCAAAGAATGGCACAAAGCCACTCTGAAAGATGCTACAGCCGAAGTGCTAATGCCATGTTACTTTTTTCCCCTTTCTATAATAGTGCATTCCTGTCGAGATGGTCCCTCTTTATGAATTACTCAAGATTTACCCAACACAAGGACACAATTATGCAAAAAACAAGCACTGGATTTTTTTAACTAGCTGATGGAGAAGTGGAAGGTCATAGCTGGGAAATGAAGATTAGCCATCACAGATAGTGACTCAATTTGGAATATTCCTTTACCGACAAAAGATATGCCAAGTAATAAGATATATTTACACGAACAATTCACCAAAATAAAAAAAAAGGGTTAGGTGTGTTCATCTATTTTATTACTATTGTATTGCACAGAGAATGTTTTCAATTTTAATTTCCCTCATCACTCTGTAGTTACGCTCTGGAGCGCAGAAACACAGTTATGCACAAAAGGAGGAAGTAGTGGATGCAATATATTTGGATTTCCAAAAGACATTTGATAAAGGCATCACATGTTAGGCTCCTTAGTAAGAAAAGAGCCCATGGTGTTGGAGGTAGGATTTAGCATGGATAGAGAACTGGCTAACTAATAGAAGAGACTTGGGATTGGTTGGGGGAGTGGTGTGGTTTCTGGATGGCAATCAGTAACTTTTGAAGTTGCACAGGGATTTGTGCTGGGGCTACAATTAATCACAATGTACATTAATGATTTGGATGAGGAGAGTGCATGTACTATACCCAAGTTGTATATGACTCAAAACTTGGAGGAAAAGCAAGTGGTGAGGATGACCCAAAGATTTTATTGAGGAATATAGGTAGATTAAATAAATGGATTAAACATGGAATATATGTGAGAAAATGTGAAGTTATTCACTTTGGCAGGAAGATTAGAGGAGCTAAGTACTATTTAAAATGGCAAAAGACTAAAGAAATCTACAGAATAGAGGGATCTGGGAGTCTTCATGCATAAAAGAAGCTTGCATAAAAGTTCAGCCAGTAATAAGGATGGCAATTGGAATATTGGCCTTTGTTACAAAGGAAATAAGGTACAAAAATAGGAAGGTCTTGCTAAAATTATACAAGGCACTAATTAGACCACACCTGGAATACTGGGAATAGTTTTGTTCCTGTTATCCAAAGGAAAAAGATACTGGCATTGGAGGCAGTTTAGAGAAAGTTCACTAAACTGATCTCCAGTACACAGGGACTGATTTATGAACAGAGATTGAGTTGAGCAGCCTGGACCTGTATTCATTGGAGTTTAGACAAATGAGAGATGATCTTCTTGAAACATTCAAGATTCTTAAAAGGGCTTGACAGAATAGATCCAGAAAGGTGTTTCCCCACTGTGGGAGGGTCTAGGACCAGGGGGGCATAATTTCAGATTGGGAGTGTCCACTTAGGACAAAGGTGAGGAGCAAGTTCTTCTGTCAGAGGGTAGTAAATCTTTGGAATTCTTTACTGTAGAGGCTGAGTCAATATATGGAAAAGGGAATGGAGGATTATCAGATCAGCCATGATCTCATTGAATGGCAGAGTGGACTTGGTGGGCTGAATGGCCTACTGCTGCTCCTATGTCTTATGGTCTTACACACATACAGCTTCAGTGCATGTTGTAGGATCTGTAATTTTACAAAAAAATTGAGTGTGGACATTGAAGCCAAAGCCAGCATTTGTTGTGTATGCCTAATCCTCGAAATTGTGGCTTGTGAGGCCTTTCAAAAAGTAATTAAGAGTCAACTACATTGTTGTGGGTCTGAAGTTATATGTAGGCCAGACCAGTTAAGGATAGTAGATTTCCTTTCCTAAAGGACATTAGTGAACCAGATGGGTTTTTAACACAACCAATAGTAGTTTGATGTCACTATTACTGAGATTTGTTTTTATAGTCCAGACTGAAGACTGGAAGAAGGCAGCACATGCTCAGTCTACAAAGGTGCCACAGAATATGGCTGTGCAGCAACATTCATATTTCCAGCATCTCCAGAACAAATTTAAATTTGTCTTAGAAGATCAAACTGTCTGGAAAAATTCTTAGTTGTAGCGCTGTTGGCCACTACTGTAAGCGGTCTGAGTAACGTGCAGTTAACATTGTGCCCATACTACTCAATATCTAAACATAGAATAATATATTTATATATTGCCGTTAACAAGCATACAACTTCTCAAAGCACTTTAAAACCAATGGAGTACCTTTTCAAAAACAGTCATTGCTATAATGTAGGAAAATTGACAGCTAATCCGTAAATATCAAGCTTCCGATCAACAACAGAGTGACAATGAACAGATAATCAGTTTCTATCATGCTCATTGAGGGATAAGTATTGGACAAGAAAGTTGGGATAACTCCCTTATTCTTCAAAATGACATCACCGTATTTTTTACACACAACATGCTTGACTGTTCAACCAGGGCTTCTAACACCTGATCTGAAAGACAGCCTCTCAGACAAGACAGCGTTCCCTTCAGACTGTAATGGAGTGTTAGTTGTGATTTATGATCAAATCCTAGAATGGGACTTCAACCCACATTTCAAGGCCTGACCTTCTTGCAGGCAACTTCCCCTGTAATTTGTTTTGTTCCTGAGTGGAACTCCATGGTCCATATGTGCTAGTGACTTTTGGAAGCAGATGCTATTCATTGGCATGTTAATCAGCTTGCATAGGGCTTCTCAGCAGCCATGTGGCTTAAAGGGAATATTGCTTGCAGGGCTGTAATAGAACTGTCTTATGGTCTGGGAAAAGCATATCTTTAACATGTGATTTCCATTATAAATAATTCTAAAAGATTTGATCTGTTCACCTAGGTTCCCTGATACTGCCTCTGTGTGGATCTCCGAGGTCCATGTAAGGCAGCAGGTTCTGGAATCAGAAGTCAATGCATCCACATGCCATTCAGTATGTACAGACCTGCTGAGTGGCTATGCAGCTTAGAAGGAACACTGCTGTTGGCATGCATGAAAAATAATCTTACCATTAATCAGAAAAGTCAGTAGATGCATTAACCTTGTATTTAAAATTTTTGGTGATCCCTTGAAAAATCTTTAGAATTCTCTACCCATAGGATTGTAGAAACTTGGTCATGGAGTTAGTTCTAGGCAGCGATCTTAGATTTCTAGTTCCTAATGAAATCAGCAGATATGGGGGTAGTAGAAGAAAAGGACATTGAGGTAATAATCAGCTATGATCGAGAATGATGGTGCAAGCTCGAGGGGCTGAATGGCCTTCTCGTGCTGCTATGTTTCTATGTTCTGCCTGTGGTTTCATTCTGTTGGCACTGGGCCAAGTTTTATCAATCACTGAATGGTATTAAGAACAGTTTTTCAATGGTGTTGCTATTGCTGGGCCCAGCTGTGATTTGACAATCACAAGTCATTGCTCCTTTCAATATTATATCACAAAACCAAAGCACAAATACACACACCACTGGATTAAAGTGAAGGAAAGTGACCAGCGTTATGCTAATTTCACATTCTGTCAACTTCACCTTTTACTTGGATAAGAGCATTTTTAGCAGTGCAATACTTGGGTATAGTATAGGTTTGTTACTAGTTCCAATAGAAGGAACAATTTAAAGTAATAAATAGGAAGCACAGAATGTATTGGTCTAGGTGCAATTCTTGTAGCACATTGGTACTGTCGTCAGGTTTATGTGTACATACATAAGACAGTATAGAAATGGTCAACAAAACATTGTTGGTAGGTGGAAAAGGGCAAAAAAAAATGAAGGAGGTCTGAAAATATTTTCTGAAAACACCTATTCAGAAGACCAGAAGTTAATTTTCGGTATATTAGAACACTTGACTGCTCAGTTTCACCAACTCACCCATCTGAAGTTCTGGGATTGTCTCCACTAATGACCAATCCGAGCCGAATCCACAGTGGGACTTATCCACGAGATTGTCCAGAACCTGCCTGACTGTTTGTCTTTCATCGACCATCATTGTTTTGGAGCTCTCATCAGACATGTGGACCCGTATCACCAGCTGCAAGATAGGATTAAACAGTTTATCAGGCAGATGGACTCTCTACGTCATTACACATTAGTACTTCTGATCTAATTCCCTATAAGAAAACTGTGCAGTCCTGTAATGGGACTAATAGTACAAGCTCATTTTCAGGGCTAAGATAATAAGGTGTAGAGCTGGATGAACACAGCAGGCCAAGCAGCATCAGAGGAGCAGGAAGACTGACGTTTCGGGCCTAAACCCTTCTTCAGAAACGTCAGCCTTCCTGCTCCTCTGATGCCTTGTTAACTCATTTTCAGGGCAACAGCTTAATATCCAACCACTGCACACTTTAACACAGAAATTAACACATTAGTTTTCATATATTTTTGAATTAAACACAATATTGAAAGGTTGAAAATGACAAAGCTTCATGCTGAATCCCCAGTAAACGAGGCAACATCTCTGATCTTTCATATTCACTGAATCCTTTCCTCAAATTTCATAATTCAACATTTCAAATATTCCTAAGTGATCAAGAGATGTGTGTCATTTTTCAGCTGTACATGTACAGTGAATTCATACTGGATGTCAATGCCCTACACAGACATTTGAAATACCACATTTGTGGAACAGGAGCTTCAGTATGTTTTCTATTGCCTGTAGGCTTGTAGATGAGATCACCATCTCACTTCCCATTCCCCAGATGCCAGACCAAGCACCTGTTGATTACAGTTGCCATGAATTATTCTTGGGGGAGGGAGGAGAAATGTTTGTATTGTGGAGTATTTCTTTTATTTGTTAAATATAATCGATAGTTCAGTTCATATAGTGTAACTTTGAGGTTGTCCTCTGGTAAAGGAATGGAGTATAAATATGAAGTCTTGCTAAAATACAAGGTACCAGTCAAATGACATCTGGAATACAGTGAACAGTTTTGATCCTTTTATCAAAGGAAAGGTATTACTAACATTATAAGCAGTCTATAGAAGGTTCACTAGGTTGATTCTGGGTATGGTGGGATTTTCTCATGAGGAGCAGTTGAGTAGATTGCACTTACGTTCATTAGAGTTGAAAGATTGAGAGGAGACCATATTGAAACATCCTTAGGGAGCTTAATAGGATAGATACAGAGATTTGTTTCCCATTGTGGATGAGTCTGGGACCAGAGGGCATAACCTCAGATTTGGGGGGTCGCCCAATTAAGACTGAGATGAGTTGGGATTTCTTTTCTCAGAGTAGTGAATCTGCGGAATTCTTTACTGCAAAGGCCTGTAAAGGCTGAGACACACAGATTTTTTAATCAGTAATGGAATCAAGAGTTATAGGCAAAAAGGCAGGAAAGTGGATTTCAGGATTATCAGATCACCCACCGTCTCGTTGAATGGTGCAGCAAATTCAATGGACCAAATGGCCTGCTTCTGCTCCTTTGTCTTATGCTACGAATGGGAAACTGGTGGGCAAATTATATTTGTGGAGGCACGATGAGCAAACTGTTGCTCAGGTGATAGATTCTCTTTCCCAGTGGCTCTTTTATAGGAGCTAGTTTCCATAGTTCTGAATTTAGGCAGTTGTGCACCTTGCAGGGTGTATTCAGCATTATCTGGTGTTGAAGCTCAACATTTTCCCGGAAAAAGCAGCTCGTTCTTACTGACGCAACATCACACCTTATTGACACAACTTTAAAATTCAGTCCCTTCACTACCGACGTCCAATGGCAGCAGAATGTACCACCTCCAAGTTGCACTACAGCAACTCACCACGGCACTCAAAGCACCTTCCAATTCTGTGACGTCTAACATCTAAATGATACAGGGCAGCAGATGCATGAGAATACCACCACCTGAAAGTTCCTCTATAACCACACTCCATCATAATACCATGATATGGGAGCAGAATTAGGCCATTTGACCTGGAGTCTGCTCTGCCATTGTTTGTGGCTGACATGTTTCTCCACCCCATTCTCCTGCCTTCTTCCTGTAACCTTTGTTCTCTTTACTAATAAAGAACCTTTCTATCTGATACATTCAATGACTTGGGCTCCACAACCCTCTGTGACAACGAGTTCCACAGACTCATCACCCTCTGGCTTAAGATATTCCTCTTCATCTCAGTTCTAAAGGGTCATCCCTTTACTCTGAGGCTGTGCCCTCAGGTCCTAGTCTCCCCTACTTATGGAAACATCTTCTCCACATCCACTGTATAGGCCTCTCAATGAGATACCTCTCATCCTTCTAAACTCCAGAGTACAGACCCAGAGTCTTCAACCACTCCTCATTTGACAAGCCCTTCATTCCTCAAATCATTCTTGAGAGTTTCCTCTGGACCCCCTCCAAGGTCAGTACATCCTTCCTTAGATACAGGGCCCAAAATTACTCTCAATTTTCTAAATGCACTCTGACCAGAGCCTTATACAGCCTCAGCAATACATCTCTGCTCTTGTATTATAGCCCTCTCAAAATTAACGCTAACATTGCTTTTGCCTTTGTAACTGCCAAATTGAACCTGCATATTAACCTTAAGAAAATCCTGAACAAGGACTTCCAAGTCCCTTCCTGCTTCACAGTTTTTCAAACCCTTTCCCCACTTAGAAAATAGTCTATCTCTATTCTTCCTACCAAAGTACAAATCCTCACACTTTCCAACACTATATTCCATCTGCCACTTATTTGCTCAAACTCCTAGCTTGTCCAAGTCCTTTTGCAACTTCCCCACTTCCTTAACACTATTTGTCCCTCATCTATCTTTGTATCATTTGCAAACTTAGCAACAACACCCTCAGTTCCTTCATCCAGATTGTTAATGTATGGCGGGTATAGTTGTGGTGCTAGTAGTGACCCCTGAGGAACACCACTAGTCACACTTGGGGGAGATGGTGGTGTAATGGTAATATCACTGGACTAGCAATATCAAGCCCCAGGCTAATGATCTAGGGTCATGGTTCAAATTCTGTCATGGCAAGCAGTCAAATTTGAATCCAACAGAAAAATCTGGAATTAAGAAGTTGCCAAATGATAACCATGTAACCATTCAGCGCAGCCAGCCCATTTTCACATACTTATAGTCACTAATATCAGCCTTTCTTTTTCCCTGGCACACTGTAATTTATCCCTTTATCTGCCTAATGTTATTCTCTCTCTCTCTGGACTCCATCTCTGCCTATCCTTTTCCCCACCCACCAGCCCAGATGTCAGCTCATATACCACCTTTTCCTAGCTACTACCAGTTCTGAAGAAGGGCCTCTGGATGAAATGTTAACTGGTCTTCTCTCCACAGATGCTGCCAGATCTGCAAAGATTCTTCAGCAATTTCTGTTTTTGCCTCATGCAACCATTGTTGATTGTTGTTAAAATGCCAGCTGTTCACTAATGTCCTTTAACGAAGGAAAGCTGACATCCTTACCTGGTCCAGTCTACATGTGACTCCAGACTTACAATGTGATTGACTTTTAACTGCCCCTTAATGGCCCTAGAAAACTAGTCAGATTAAGGGCAAATTAGGGATGGGCAATAAATGCTGTCCCAGCCAGAGACACTCACATTCCATGAACTAAAAACAAACATATTGCAGCTTCTTCACTGTCTTTAGATAAAGAACCATGAAATGCTTTTCTTAACAGTGGTGTCGATATAGCTACACCATACGGACTACTTTTCAAAAAGTAGCTCAACACCATTTTCAAGGGCAAACAGAGATCAGCAAGAAATACTTGGCCAATGACACACACATTACATGCAAATTCCAAACTCGGGTGTGAATCCATTGTTGGAAGATTTTTTTCCCCACAGATGCTGAATGGCATGCAGGTGTTTTCGGTTTTTGTTTGATTCTTTTGTACTGCTATTTTTCCTTTGTTACTTGGCACCCTTACCTTTTTGATTTGTGCCTCTTTGATCTTCTCCAATGCCACCCTGATTTTTTCTGCCTTCTGCCTGGCAGCCTGCTCCTCCTGTAGATACATAGTGAGGAAATAAAGATGAATCAGGAGATCATAATGAACCAGGAGAACACACCTTACAGACACAGCATGACAAAAAGGGAAGCAGCTTCCTCTGACCAACAACTACCGTGCAATGAGCTCGGGGCACATTTTAAATCAAAATCCCCAAGCCTTGCAGCATCACAAAGGATATTTAAATTGGATGTTACTGAAGAATGAGCTTCACTCGTATATCCTTCACTACATCTGTTTTTAACGTCTTTAATGCGATAAAATTAACTGGGGAAAAAAAAAAATCACACAACCCACAGAACTTTGGAAAGGATGTCCCTTTGCTTTACATAATCTCTCAAGGGAACAAACTGCATTTCTTGTTGAGCAGACTATTTACATCCAATATTGCATTCAAGACTGCAATAACCTAACTAAAACATTAACACATCTAATTTTTTTAGTCTTTGAAAAGTGTAATGAAAAGCATTTGAAACGGGCAAGCAAGCTGGTTAAAAGGATAAACACAATTTCAGTTGCCATCATTTTCCAAATATTCATCCATGAAAACTATCCTTTAAAACAGGTTATATCAGTTTACCTGCATGTTTCAGTATGGCATGAAGTGGTATCTTGACAAAGCTTCGGTTTAAACAAGCCGTGTTGTGAAAACTGAAAGCAACAGCTGGGATAGTTCAGGGATATACCCACTATAAGCGTAATTCCATGCCACAAAAGACTCCATTGCTAACATGATAATAACTTCAATACTATTGGCTGAGAACCTAATTAAACAAAGAGCGAAGAAGCACCTAGGCAGCAGGTCCCTGTGCTAACACGCTTTTAGAGAAATGATCAATTCATCCCACCTCTCTTTAATTTTATATATGTGTCTAAAGACAAGAGATGTGCATTCATCATATGGCAGTTAGATAATATCAGCAGGTGCAGATACTTAGAGGAATACAATAGGATTTTTATTTTTTTTTATAAACCATCAACTTTGCTCAACGTCACTGCTTGATACCAGGGGCCTCTGGGGGTTGGGGGGGGGGCGTGGTGTCCAAATCTCAACCTCAAAAGGGAATTAATTGATGTGCATCAACAAGCTTGCACATTGAACCATAATCAAAACAGGAAGGCTAAACCTTTAATATAGGTAGGCTAATCCATACTTGTACACTGTCCACAAACTATGACCGATCCTTACTTTAGATGTTCAAATCAAAAAAAGAGGTTCCTGACCATCTGCTGGTACAAGTTTGCTAGTTATATGCAAGCAGAAAAAGGGAGGCCTTATCTTCCCTTGAGGCATACATCCTGAAGGAACCACCCAGCAACTGCACTGACAGTATCCCCAGGAAGAACCAGCCTAGTGCTTAAAGGATAGATGAGGTAAGGGAAACAGGAAATCCAATTCCACCCTAAAAAAGAAGTTCAAAACTTCCCTGTTAACAGAATGCAATGTCAGTTTATACTGCATATTTAAAATGTGCACTTCAGATTTCGTATTCACGTGAATCAGATACCCAGTTTGTTCAGTCCAGAGAAAGTGTCTGTGTAAAAGGGATCATGTGTAATACATCTGCCATCATGAATTTGTTTGTTGCTTTTCTCTCTTTTACTTCTTAAGGCACTGATTCATGCTAGGGTAAGTTTTTAGTGGTATCAGTTGATCCCCAATATTGTGTAATACTATTCACCGTGAGCACTAGAAAGTTCTTTGGTCCTGGGGTGTATCATAACTGAGTGCACTGTTCATTGGATTTCATACTCCCTAGGAAGAGACAATGTCATTGGGTAGTAAGAAATTGCAAGAACTGCAAATGCTGGAGTCAGAGACAACACCGTATGAAGCTGGAGGAATACAGCAGGCCAGGCAGCATCAGAGGAGCAGGAAAGTTGACGTTTCGGGTCGGGATCCTTCTTTAGAAATTTCTGAAGAAGGGTCCTGACCCGAACTGTCAACTTTTCTGCTCCTCTGATGCTGCCTGGCCTGCTCTATTCCTCCAGCTCCATACTGTGTCGTCATTGGGTAGTGAGTTCACTGACCACAACCACATTGCCACCCAGCTGACATTAATGCACTCAGCACAATAAGAGTTAGCCACATGGGGCTCATGTAGTGCAGTAGTAGTGTCCCTACCCCTTTACTGGGAGACCCGGGTTCAGTGTCCCCAAATGCTCCACATGTGTGTCATAACATCTGAGCAGGTTGACTAGGAAAAATAGGTTACACACACCTGCAGGGGCCCTCTTGTGGCACCGTAAGAAAAAGAATAATTAAACATGCGGGGCTCATGTGTTATAGTGGTAGTGTCCCTACCACTGGACTGCAAGACCTGGGTTCAAGTCTCACCTGTTCCAGAGGTGTGCAAAATCACCCTTGAACAGGTTGATTAGAAAAATAGAGTAAATTTTTTAAAAAGTAGCCATATGGGGCTTATGTGGTACAGTGGTAGTGTCTCTACCTCTAAACTTAGGTCTCCCAAAGTTTAAGTCCCACCTTCTCTAAAGTGTCTAATAATATCATAGAACTAGGGGATTAGGAAAATATCCAAAGGGGAGTCATGTTTGCATAGGTCACTAATTTCTTTAACTAATCAACTGGAGGATTTACCCTCCTATCTTCTAAATTTGATTTTTTTTTGAAAGGTTAGATTCAGAAACAGAGGGAATATGTTTCCTGTAAAGATTTGGTTAAACTGTCATAAAGTTGACCTAAGTCAGGGTTGTATTTTATTAAAATTCATTTAAGGGATGTTGCATCACTGGCCAGGCCAGCAATTATTGTCAATCCTAATTTCCCAAATTTGGGATGGATGATAAGGTCAAAAAAGTCTACCCAAAAATTGACTGGTTTTTCTCAAATCAGGATAACTCTGCATGGAGATCTGTTCACAGCATGTAACAGCCAGCAACCTGCAAATATTAACAAGTCAAACAGCCGGTGCAAACACACAGCTAATTGCGCTGCCAAAGTCTAATACAATATTATCAGACTTTATGTCCAAATTTAGCTGCAGACAATGGAGACACAGGATACAAAATCTGAGTCAATCCCAGCCAAAAAAACCCCAGGCAACCAGTTAGCACCCTGCTGAGCTCCCAGAAATGAAGAATTGCGGCAACTGTAAGTGCCAGTCTCACCTTCTTTCCCAAAAATTGGGATAAACCCCAATGCTTGGTCAGCAGACTTTTGTTGGGCAGGCAAGTGCCAGTATGGTCTTGCCTCCATCTACAATGTGTGTATACAAATTTGCAGGCTTTTTTATTCCAGCATTTCCTACGGGGAGATGGTGGTATAGTGGTTATGTTGTTGGACAAGTAATTCAAAGATCCAGGCTAATGGCGTGGGGACACAAGTTCAAATCTCACCAAGGCACCTAGTGAAATTTGAATTCAATTAATGAGCCTGGGAATATATAGTTCAGTGATGGTTTCGTGAAACTATCATCAAATGTGAAAAAAGAAATCTAGTTCACTGAAGTCTACAATCCTTACCAGTCTGGCCGACATGCAACTCTAGACCCACTTAAATCAACCCTTAAATGACCCTCAAATGATGTAGCAAGCAAAATGGTGTAGAAAGCTGCTCAGTTCAAAGCCAAGTTGGGATAGCCAATAAATGCTGATCTTACTAGCAATGCCCACATCCCATGAATTAAGAAAAATTGTACCCTTTAATTTAAACTGTCTCTCCTTATTTTTCAATGAATTACTTCATATCTTTAAATTTCATTTGCGATGTCTGTGAAATTAGTGAACTCCCTTTTTAAAAAGTGCTAGCAACATCCTAATTTTATTGCAAATGTAGTAAACTGTAAGGTTTAGTTTGCTTAAATCTGATGGGCAAACCTCCTGGAATTGATCAAGTCTTAGGAAAGTATTCAAATTTCTCCAAGGGCAGTTCTTAGCTGGAAGGATCTGGCAGTGCATTTCTAATCAGTTGTTGCCATGATCTATTGAAGATATTCAATTCTTGCTAAAATAGATGACTACAGATGCTGGTTTCTCATGAAATGAATAGAACTGACATGGGCCAAGTGCAATGAGAATAGTCAAACCCAGTCATGCCTTTAAATGATAGCTACACAAAGAGGATTCCAGGATGATGCACTGAATAGCAAATATGAATGAAAAGTCTTGCTAATTCTGATCCCCCACCTCTTAGCTACCAAAATTATATATGAGCTTAATGACAAGCCCCCAAATAGCCTACAGACCAGCTTGATATACAAGTGGGAAGATATCCACTGATGTGTTTGGGCAGTTCGCAGCAGCAGATTTTCTTCAAGTCTTCTCCTGTTTTAAATTCTCCATGTGCCAAATTCCCAATCTCAGCCAGTCAGAACTTCCTTTCCTTGTTCCCTTCACCTTCCTGTATGGAAAATCCCTTGGGGGTTCCTCTCAACACCAAACAGCTGCTCAAAAATAAGGAAGGGGACTCAAAATGAAACAACAAGGAAATACCAAAACAATTTGTTAAAACATTTACTTATGATTCAAATTGTTCAGTTCTTAGTTCCTCAAATTTGTCAGATGATGAAGAACTCTGTACCCATAGACAGTTAAGCTTGGGCTGACAAGTGGCAAGCAATATTTGAACCATACAAGTGGTGAAAAATGACAATCTCCAAAAAGAGAATTTCTAAACATCTTCTGCTAACATTCAGCACCATTATCATCAAATCTTCCCTCCATCCTGGGATCAACGTTCAGGCTGGGGCTCCTGCAGCAAGTAAATCACTGCACTCCCCAAAACATGTCCAACATGTATAAGACACAGATCAAGCATTTGATGAAACACTCCCCATCTGCCTGCATTAATGCAGATCCAACAATGCTCAAGAAGCTCAACACCATCCAAGTCAAAACCACCTGCATGACAGGTACCCTGTACTCCATCCTAAAAATTCACGTCCACAGGTGGTGTACCATGGCTGAAGCAGGTATTGTCAATAAGATATATTTCCGTAACTGAAAAAAAAGCTTCTTTGACAGCACCTTCTAAACCTGTAGCCTTTATAATCTAAAAAAAACAAGGGCAGCAGATGCAGGCATACATCATCATTTCTATGTTTCCCTCCAACTCACACACTATCCTGACTTGGAAAATGATTGCCTTTTTGTAATCATTGCTTGGTGAAAATACTCAAACACTACCTTAAAAGTGCCGTAGGACCCACCTTCATCACGCGGACTACAACGGTGCAGGAAGACAGCTCGTGACGATATTTTCACGGGCAATTAGTAATGAGCAATAATTGCTGGTCTTCAAAGGACTGTCCACATTCCATAAATGAACGAAGGAAAGCCAAAATATATAAAACTTCATTTATCTTCCCATAACTATTTTTCATTCTTATGCTCAATGATATAGTCCAATCAAACAAGTGAATTAATGGTGGGATTGTTCCAGTTCTGGCTAATATGATAACTGGCCCACTAAGATGCCAAGGGCACGGTTGTTTCTTCTGACAAGATCTATTAACTAACCTCAACACAACTCTCTAATTGGGTTCCACACCAAGTTTTCAAACCAAATTTTTTTTTTTTTTGGATATTACTCTGGGGCCAGCATACAGGTTCTAGGCCTTTTGATGCTCATGTGGTAGTCAAATGAGCTACCAAGCACAAGAAAAGACACTATTGTAAGACAGACAGAAAAGCAGGAGGCCACTTACCAATGTGAGTTACCTTTTACCAACAGATTCAAGAGCATATGCAGCAGAAGCTTGGGAATAATTTACTGACTGCCATCTTGCTCAAGGAATGGCCTGTCTGTGGTGCAGAGGGGAGAAGGGAGCCTAAAGAGGTATGAGAAAATTGTACAAAATTTGGGAAAAGAACAATTTTTTTTAAACTAAATGATGGATTCTGTTAATGTGGCAAGATGTAATTCCTCTGGCTGTCTGGCCTTCAATTAGTTTCCTCATCTAATTTACTCCATTCCGTTTGCCACCCCCTGAAATAACTCAGTATTGCTGTAGTGCCCACAGGCACTGACCATTCTCCGGCATGTCATCTCAAATGGCCATTTGAGAGCTGAGGAACTGTTAGCTGCGCTCAGTGTTCTCACCTGACATTCCCACACACAAGCCTTTGGACTGACCTTTTAATCTCCTTGGTTGAGGCAACCCATGAGATCTGCTCCTCCAGCTGAGATTATCACATGTCAGGAATCAAACCTAGGACACTGGGGGAGTGTCACCAAGTTCACAACAGGGAATAAACATCCTAATCTACAAGGCCAACAACGAAGATATGTCAGCCTGTTAAGCAAGAAGTGAAGCTTCTGGTCGGGACTTTCTGTCCGAACCTGAACCATAACTTTGAATCAACGAAAATTTATCTGTGCAGGCAAATCATAGTGTCCTCCCACCAAGAACTTCACAAGTGAAATCCCATCAAACAAGAAGTGACAGAGTAGAACAATCCAAGGTATGGAATTACAAAATTGAATTGAACTTGATGTAGTTATAAGTTCCATTGAGCCATATTTCTGGGCGAATGCAGTAATCTTTTGGAATTTAAGTCTGGGACTAACTCTGGAAAACATTTCAGTTGTCAGATATTTGCCCAGCAGGACTCCATCTGGTTTACATCTTTTGCAGTCAGTGAAGCTTTGGTTTAACTTCATAACTGTGTTTTAAGAGTTGGAAAACTCACTGCGGACCAAATTTGTCCAGTACTCCAGCTTTAGAAGCTTTCAAGGGATCAAGAAATTGGAGCTTTGCTAAGTTGTGTTTTGTTGATTTGTTTATTTCTGTGAATATTAGCATTTAGTTAAATATAATTACAACTCAAATGCTACAGTATTGGTAGGATATTTCATTTTTTATCCAGGCTAGTTGCATGTTGTCATTTTTTTAGTGTTTTGAAGTGTAAATTAACATGCACAAAATTCAATATATGTAGCCGGAATGACAAAAACAAAGTTTGAAGTAATTGAAAAAACTAAGCAAAACTCCTCTTTCAAGTTATCCAGGAAGTGCTCTGAGAGGTTGACAAGGAATAGCATGCAGGCATTAGTCATGCTGTCATGCAAATGCCTGTTTAAGTATCAAGTTTTTGAAAAGCACAAATACAAAAAAGAAGCTCAAAGCATTGCTTTTTTTTCACTCATCATTGGGGAAAGGCATGGGCCACAAGCAGAGAAAGTTAATAAATAAGCCAATTACTGGAAGAGACGGAGGAATACAACTGAGTATAACCACTCCTAGCAGCTTGGTCAATACACTGCAATAGATTGAGAAAAAGGGAAATCAAAAAAAATTCCTTGATATATAAATATTAACAAGGATATGGGATTGGCAACAAGTCACAGGGTTACTCATTCTACCTACAGGGTTTCATCACATGCAGGTTGGAAGATACGCTTCACCTTGGTCAGCAAATGAGAAGGTTTCCCAGCTATGTTTCTCAAAATGATTGACGTTTCCCTGTCCAGATAGGAATGCTTGGTGCAGGAAATAAAGAAAAAGAGAAATAAATCAGTGCAGTGATAAAATAAAGTTAAAGTGTGCAAGCATAGGATTAAAAAAAAAGCAACCTAATCATATTGGAAGAGCAATCAGCAGTAAACCACTTTTCTTTCAGGGAACAACAAATTCATACATATTCCTTAAAGATTATATATATTCAAACATACATCTAACTAGTACGATATACAATGACAGAGTACCGTGCATCTCTGCAGTGCAAGTTTCAATTCATCCTCACATTTGGTCACAGAAATACTATGGGGTCAAAATTCTTCTTTAGAAGTGGACATGGATACAATGTAGCCCATTTAATTGACAGCAGATCAATCATATGGGATAATTGCTGAGTGTGCTACCCAGTGTGGAACTCAGTCAAGCTGACCACCTGAACTCCAGCTCAGATTGCCAGCCTGTTGCCAGTTTTATTTATTGGCTTCCTATCATTTGGAAGGTATCAGGATTACTATTGTGGGTCCGTAGTGGTAAGTAAATTGAAACAAAGGCATGGTAGCTTTTCTTCATGAATTTTGTACACGTTCTGGTGACAGGATTTTTGAGCTCGGGAATGGATGAACTTAATTTTAATCACCTCTTACTGGCAAACATTGAGACAACAGGTGCAGGTCAGGTTTTTTCATAGTATAAAGTTTCTTCTTTAATAAGGGGTTATTACAGCAGACTAGTAATGCAGAGAACCGAACAGCACTTCACATCCCATTGCGGTAATTTGAGAACCTAAACTCAGTTTTCTTTTTTTAAAAGTCAGTACACACAATCTTGAAGCTGGCAGATTGTTACAAAAAAATTCAACAGTTTCACTGATTTCTTTACCCAAAGAAATCTGCCATCCTTACCTGTTCTGGTCTGTATCTGACTTCAGTCCTAGAGCCTTCTGAAGTAGCTGGGCAAGTCAGTCACTCAGTTACATAAAACTAGTACCAGCAGCTCAAAAGCAATGTTCAGTAATACCATCCCTCAAATCAAAAAACCCCACCCTAACCCAACAATAACACCCATTGCTGTATCTGCAACATTTCCATGCCCCACATCCGTTATCCTGTGAACTTGCATTAAGATTGCTAGCTTACTGCCATATTTGGGATAGGGTGTGTTTGTGTATGTAATTTTTAAAAAAAAATCTCCTTGGACACTGCCATACAGTCGCCAGCCTCAGTGATAGGAAATATTATTTAGTCCAGTCGCAGGTCACAATGAAGCAGAAATAAATTCATCACATTTCACTATAAATCAGTTGACCACAAATAGTTACAAATAGAAGCAATTTCAGAAACATTTCAAAAAAACAGAAGTTGCTGGAAAAGCTCAGCAGGTCCGGCAGCATCTGTGAAGGAAATAAACAGAGTTAATGTTTCGGGTCCAGCGACCCTTCCTCAGAACTGATGCTGCCAGACCTGCTGAGCTTTTCCAGCAACTTCTGTTTTGTTTCCTGGTTTACAGCATCCGCAGTTCTTTCGTTTTTTTTATTCAGAAACATTTCAGTTTTCCAAAGGTAAGTTGCAATTTAATTTGAAAACTTCAATTGATAGATACAATGCCAGCTTCCATTGCCTTGACAGGTCAGCTGTTAAGGATAACATCTAACCAAGACAGAGGCAGCTCAGGTTTGATCTCTGTCCCATATTGAGTTAGTTGATCTCAGCTAAGGAGCTACAACTGGCCTTAACACATTCGCAGATGACCAATGACCACCTCAACAAGGTACTAGAGAATCTGTGACCTTTCATTATTTTAGTTTGCCTTGGCCAGGCTGTTTATAGAAGACACCATGCAAAGATAGGATGACCATTTCAAACTACAGAAGTCGTCATCTGACTCCTTAAATCCAGTTCAACTGCAAGACTGGCAGGTCTGGCAATGATGCACAAGTTCCCTATTAGTATTGGACAGAAAACTGCAGCAAAGGGGAAGTTAAATTCATCCAAGTAATAACACAATATACAAACTATAGACAGTCAAGACAGTACGTGAATATGTTCGCACAAATCAGCTATTTATTTCCCTTCCTTACTCTAATACCTTTTTGAGCGATAAACAACTCCAACTGCAGCCTAACAAATTCACCATTACTTTTATTTTCAACGATGCTCATAAATAGATCCCTCAAATTTGCAGACTGTCCTACATTTAATCATGTCTAAAGAACTACCTGCACCTCTCTTGCTCATCCACTCATTCATACACCACTCCCACGTATGCAAAGCCAACCAAGATCTACTTATATACGATAACAAGGTGTAGAGCTGGATGAACACAGCAGGCCAAGCAGCATCAGAGGAGCAGGAAAGCTGA